TTTAACTACGATTTATCTGCAGTGAGCAAACCTTTTAGAGACGCTAGAACCGATATCTAAATTTCTCATAACTGAACGCCGTACTGGAGTTATTTCATTGCCCTTATTTTCGCTCTCTTAAATTAATTAAAAAATTTTAAAAATAGTAACTACTAAGCATTAAAAATTTTAAATTTGTAACCGCTCACTTACTATCAGTCTTTTTGCAAGTGATTTTTAGCGGTAATGGCGCATATTTCTTGCTTGCGCTCGACTTTGGAGTGCGCGGTGATCGCTTCGGTGAGAGATTCCCTCGGCTAGGGGTCCTTGGCGTACATGGGGATGTTTTCACATTTTTACTGTTACCCTCTCTCAGTCGACTTCCAGTTTTAGTAGGAGTTTTTGGTACCAAATCATCCGAGCCATCCACTTGAGGTAAATCTATCCTAGATCCTTCTTCTTCTGTTGGTTGGCTTTGTGTAAATTTTAATATTAATTCCTCCATATTCTCTAAGGCAATGGAAAAGTCAAGGGGATTCCCATTGTCATCTTCATTGGAATCGGTGTCACTATCTGGAAAAGGTTGACTGACAGCTGCTGCTCCCACTTGCTTATCTAATAACTCCGGTGAGGGATTAACTAAATACAAGTCGATATATTTATTTTTTTTATTTAAGTGCAAATATTAGGGCATTAAGATGTGAATTTTTTCATATTCTAAAAAAAAAAAGTGGCTATTTTGAAGCTTACATTTTTTATGTGCCTGTGTGAGTGGTGCTAACGTACTGTCCAAGTCGATATGATTTCCATCTTCCTCGTGCTCTTCTAACTGCTTTAGAATATCCAGGAGTTCCATGTCTTCTGCACATACTAAATGTGGAGGCAGAGTTTTCAGCTACTGCAGAGCTTAAAACATTTATTTCTACTTACGGCTTGTATTTAATTGTTGTGGGATTTCGGTCCTTTTATTTACAAGCAATTCTTCATCAATGACGGTATCATCCAAGAAAATGCTATTTCCTCGAGCGTCTGAGTTATTTTTAACCAACGGTTTGCCTGCAGAGCAAACTAGTGAACCACTTTGCGTGAAGCTACTGCTAGATAAATGATTTTCTATAAAGGAGGCGTTGATTAGATTTTCATTGGGTGTGCACTCTTCAGGATAAATAGCATTCCCAACTATTTTACTCAGATTAAATGTATGTTTCTAAAAGTATTTGCATTGTATAAAATTTTGTTACTCAAGGTTATATCAGCCAATGACTTTACCTGATCCCTACCGCCAGCATCACCTGAAGGAAAATTGACAATACTTGTCTGAAGCGTAGAGTTTATCGATTGATCCAACTGGCAGCCGCTAAAAGTTGTTGACAAATTTAAAGCCAATAATTTGCTTTGCAAAACTGTTTTATGAAAAATCTCACTCTCAACTGACGGTACATTGGTGCGCTCTTGAGAGGCTGGTATTTCCAAAGGGGGTACCTACAAAAATAACAAGTTATTATGATTTTTCTTTGCTCTGTTAAGATTTACTATGCTTATTTACATTTTCCACTCGTTTTTCAGCCATTCTCTGCCTACGTAAACGCTCATCATTCCAAATAGCCTCGATACCTGGATTCGAGTGCGTTTTGGTGTCGTTACTATGCAAAGTCAGCTGAAATCGGTTTAAAATGAAATTAGATCCAATATCCACCTCAAGCGCACAGGTTGATTGCTTTTTAGCCACACTCGAGTCAAGCGCTTGTGGTTGTTTGTGTTCCGGAAAGAAAATACCTTATGATGATTACAAAAAAAAAAAAAAAACATAAATATGTGTCAACATGTATACTTCGTCCAAATCAATGCAAAGGCCCTATTTGACATTTTTTCGGGAGTTCTTGTTGTTCAATATTCCATTAATTTCCCAGAATATACTTTCGGTTGACCTTCCGAAGTGAAGCAATTCTAAAAGACTTAACCAAGAATTTCTGCTTGCCTTCTGGAAGGGTTTTCTTGGTTACAATTTACTCGAAAGTAAGGTAGGCCTTCTTAAGTAAAGCCATTCGAAAAGGCCTACCCAATAAGAAGTGTAATTTTTATGAATTAAAGAAGCAGCTTTATTAGAACTCTTACAAAAGGCCTTCTGAAAGACATCCTATAAAAGCCCTTCTGGGAGTCCTTCTATGGGTCCCGGCCTTTCGAAAGGGCTTTAGCTCCTGAAATTATCTGCTGGGATAAGTTTATATTCTGCTTTATCCCGAGTTTCACCTGGAATAAAAGAAATCACCCGAAAATTTGTCATCCGCCCATAGTAAAACCATGGAAACCAAGAGTGAAAAGTGAACCGGTTCGGGGAAAATTAAACTCATGATAAGGCTGATTATCTATCTTGACATGAACTTTAAATAAAAACGTTAAAGAAATATAATATTTATGAATTAAGGAAGCAGCTTTAGAAGAGCTCCTCCAAAGATCTCCCGAAACAAGTACAAAAGCCCTTCTATGAATAGCAAAAGCAGATGCCCTTCAAGTTGTGTCCTCCATACAAAAAAAAAAAAGAATGCAGATGGGAGGACCTCTCGACTCCAAAAAGGGATAAAAAGTCTTTTAAAATGAATTTGAATAGCTATGTACGAACGTAGCATATACCTTTGAATACATGCGTTCGTAGCAATTCGGATTCAGTGTTCGCATTTTCTTCGATTTCACGAAAAACTAGACTGTGGAGGATTCTGTGATAGCCACCATTATTTAGCCTTACAGATAAACTTCAATATGTATTTAAGTTGCAATAAAACATATTCGATCTAAACCTTAGATAAATACCTACCTTAAGAAGTTTGATATTTATGAATCAAAGGCGCAGCTAAAGCTGAAAACCATCTAAATTCAATACAGAAGCCCTTGTATGGTTTTGTGGAAAGGAATGCAGAGTGGAATGTCTTTACTCTGAGGGAAGCCTTATGGAAGGGCTTTTATATTTAGCCTTATTGTCATTTCCATGTGAACAAATCGTTCCCATAATTTAACATGCAAGATCAAAACAAATTGGAAAACATTTTTTTTCGTTTTGCTTTATAATTTTTGGGAACATGCTATTAATAATAGCATAATAATAGATTAGCGCTAACACAATTTGTTAGTGTTTGGCCGAGCTGCCCTGAAAGCATTTCTTACAAGTTTAAACAGTTTTTCGCTTCTAGTTCGAAATTTCGAATTCATAAATTAGGATCCTACGTATTGATGGGACGATATGTATGTACATATGTATGTAAATGAAAACTCACCTCCAGAGTTATTTTCGTCTCCCGCATGTCGAAATTTA